TTCTTATCCAGACACATCACACGACACCTCATAGTGTTCATTCCTTGCCACACCACCGTGATCTGCTGCGGGATCGTGCCATGTACCGCGATCTGTATAGCAGTAGGGAGCGCGATCGCGATCGAGAGCGATATAGAGATCACTTACGCGACTATGATATGCGATATGAATATCGGGATCATGAGCGTGAACTCTATGAGAGGGAGCGTGATCGATTAAGGGATTTCGAAAGAGAAAGGTGAGTAATGTTTGAAAAATTATTGTCTTAAATGAACATATATAAGTAAACTTTTAGTGGCCTGAAGGGAAAAATTAAGAAATTGTAAAAGTAAAGTTCTACAATTTTTGCCACCGAAGAGATTTTAAATTGATATTGTTTTCGTATTACATATCGACACCTGAGTGGAAGATGGACCTAACTGGTAGCCAGTTCGAAAACGCCCTACCTCAAAGTTTGATTGAAGAACGCCCTATCTCAGAATACGATTCAAAAATGCCCTGTCTCTTTTGAAAATGTAATGAAAATGTGCTGAGATAGGGCATTCTTCAATCAAATTGTGAAATAAGGCGTTCTTGAAAAGTTTTTTGAGATAGGGCGTTTTCGAACTGGCAAGCGAGATAGGTCGATCTTCAACTCAGATATCGATATGTATTTAAGAAATGTTAGGACGAGAGTCTGATTTTTTATATCTGAAGTGCGAAACAATCAGCTTCACCGCGTAAGTCGTAAATTAGACTAATTCGGACACTCGACAACTCGACTCTCGAAAAATGACTTGCTTTCAACATAACCCTCGCAATGAAGCTGATTAATAATCATATGTAATGAAAGAGATTAAGGGGTGGAAAGTCTAAAATAGGAAATGAAGTAAATTGTGAAAAGCCCTAATCAGTACGCACATGCATATACTTGAAGCACCTTACTTTTCTGTGACAATAGCCTTTTACCATTATTACTAACTAAAATTTCATAACAAATTTCTGGTATTTTCTCTTCTAGACTGGAATACATAGCGCCGCTATCGTTTGAACAAGCGCTTGCTATGGGCAGAACGGGGCGAGTCCTGCCATCACCCGTTCTAAATGGCTATAAGCCAAAAGGTGGCTTTCACCCAAGACACTCCGATTCGGATGAGGAGGACTGGTGCTAGCAAAGGCTTTGATTGCGATTGCGTAATCGACGGGAACAGATCTGGGTATAGCATCAAGCCATATTTCCATCACTCTCTGCACCGGACTTAGACCATAATTTTGATACAATACCGTTGCAACAATTCACTGCTGCATCCGATACCGATTTAATAGAAACCACATTCATCGATACAGATTTAAGTGAAAATGCTGCCATAGCTGCTACAGCCGCCGACTTAGACGACATTGGTGGTGGTGGTGGTGGCGGTGGTGGTGGTGGTGCTGATGACGCTGCTGAATATTTGCGCATACGCGTCCGGGCGATAACAGAACCAACAATTTGTGATTTAGTTGATACAGGTCGGGGCGATCGCGGGAGGATAGTAGCGAAAACCAGGCCATTGTCATTGGTTATGCCACGCCTTGAAACGGAATGTGCTATAGCGACTACGAGAATTTATTCCGCTCATGAGCTTGACCAACGGTATCAACAGCATACCGGTTATGCAACCAGTGAACCGCATATGCCGATGGCTTATGATCTGCAGCATCAGTACGCAACAGCAGCAGCAGCAGCAGCAAAAACACAGCCTGAACAGCATTTGTATCATACGTTGTAAAAAAACAAAAAAAAAAAATAGAAATATGAAGAAACTGCATACATACATACATACATACATATTCGTACATAAAATCGGAAATTAAAATGTTCAGCTAGAGTTTTCTAAAGGAAATGGAAATATTGAACTTAAAACGATATAAATAGTTACATACATACATACATATACGTACATACACACAATGTAGATATACATACATACATACATACATACAATTACATATGTATGTGTAATAACAATATTGTAATAGATTGGGACTGCAATAGTTGTAGCTGATAAATTGCATAACACACATACATACATACATACACACATATACATACATACATACAAACACAAAGCATACCTACATACATACATACGACATAAGAAACTCCGCTAAAGTTAATTTTCTCAATATATGTAGGTAAACAAATGATCAAGGGACGAACACTTACTTAAATACATACACGCAAACATAGAATTATACGAAACCATAGCCAAAATATTTCTACCAAAAATATATAAATTTGTATATACATATGTATAAGTATATAAAGACATATGTACATAGATACTGCCTTGTTTCTGTTAAAGTTTGGCCCAAAACGATATTGTAACAACAAAAACAAACAAGCATACCTACAAAGAAATTCTAGAAAATTGTTAACTGCATACATACATACAGATTTGTTTCATATATAATTTACTAAGATAATTTTAACTATGCATTAAAAATTTGTTAGAAGCTTTTAAACATAAAACACAAACAGTCATACATACATACTACATAAATACGCGTACGCATTAATTCAAAAGTCAGTAATTTGAAGAGTGCTTCTAAAAGAAAGGGAGCTTTTACTCTAGGAAAATACATATTAAGCACACGCAAAGCTTTAAAAGACGGTGCGAGATTTTGCCTGGGCTACTTACAGATCACCACTATGTTATTTTCATAAGCTTGCGCGTAGAACCTTTTAAAGCTTTTTATAATTTTTTTTCATGCAGACCAGCGAGGACCGGAGTGAACTTTTACTCCGTGTCTGCCCGTAAAAAATATATGGATAGCTTTAAAATGGTGATGGGCACTGCCTTCCCCGCCTATAAAGCTTTTTCAAGTTTTCTATATATTTTGTTTTGCGTGCAGAGTAAAGCTTTCTCTGCCCATCGCTGCTTTAAAAAGATTTGTTCGGGACTGAAGTATGTATGAAGATCACTGATGCTCAAAGAGAGCTTTTACTCAGTGTGCGTCCATATGAAATCCAACGAGAGCTTTGAAAAGCTCCGCTCGTGAGCATCGCTGATGCTTTATCTGAGCGAGCCTGTTCTAAATTAGCAATGATAAAATCACATATTGTGGGTAGAACTTTTTTAAGCTTCCTGTACATTTTATATTCAGCCTCATTGCGTACGTAGTAGGTAAGCCTAATTTGTACGAAATAAGTAGACGGCGCAAATTGTCGAAAAATATCCAGTGCTGCGAAGTTCTTCCATTTTAATGCACTGGTCGAGTCGAAATTTTTGGTAATGACATGTAATTTTCGATAAGACCTGACTCTCGAAATACAGCGGGTTGTCAAACGCGCTTTTAGCTGCCGCTCTAAGCTTATAAAAGCTCTACATACAATTTATATGTGGCTAGCACAAACTAAAAGCTTTCTCTGGAGGAGAACGTTTCAACAGTCTCAAATACATGCCGGCATTGCAAAAGCTTCAATATTATAAAAAAAAAATTTATTTTGCGAACAAAGGGTATAACATGTTTTGTATTCACCGTCGAATTTTCAAAATGACGTGCTTCTTATTTACTTAAAAAATGTAATGATCCAAATTGAAATGAAATTTATTTTTATAAAATGTTTCGGAAAATGTTGCCGATTTCACTGATCCTTGAACTCCGACCTTAAAAAATGTTATTCGTTTTTCTCAAGCCCTATCCAGTAAACAATTTACGAATTAACACCGAAATCAAAAAAAATTTGGAAGCAACGACTTGTTAATCCTTTTGGGGTAATAAACCAGCTTATGAATATTCGAAGATTACTACCTTTGTTTAGCGGTTCTGGGGTCAAACGAAGCTCGAAGGAATTCTCCCTTTTTCCTTTGTTAGGATCTCAAAAGCAATGCTCGCCCTTATGGGCTTGTAATGTTAAAAATGAGTATAAAACGCTGTCGGATCGCAAAGTAGCGATCTACTACAAATCTTTGGATGCTCCTATTTTGTACTGGGTAACTACTAGCGGATGCTAAATAAGAAGATCAGTAAACTCTAAATGTACTATTTATAGAAAGAAAAAAAGAGCAAGAGAAAATTTGCAAAGTAGATCGGTCGCCTTTCTTTTCCGTCTTTGGCAAATTCCTTTACTGATTAGCAAATACATATATACATACATGCATGTAAACATAAATGAATACGTACACACAGTTATACATACCCACAAACATACATAAACACATACAAACATAAATATTTGCATAAATGAAAATAAAGCAAAGAAAGTTTTCTTTAGCTTTCGTATTTTACTGTCACTTATGAAATGAATTAGCTTTTAATTAGTGCTTAAAGCGAAATGATTTTATTCGGTAAAACTAGGGTAAATAGTAAAATATATATGTAGGTACACGTACACACACATTTATAGGAAAATATGCAGCTTAAACACTCACAATCAATCACACTATCATACATACACAACAAATTTATGTAGTATTAAAAACAGCAACGGGGATGAGGGGCCAAATAAATAAGAAAAAATAAAAAATATAGCAAGACTCGCTGAATTTCCTATCGGATGTGAATAGCAAAATGGGGGCATACACAAATATGTAGGGGTAATGTGAAGAACGCAAATATTTTTTTATTTTAATTTTCAAAACTAATAAACACACACTAGCATAACCAACACACTGTAGCTAGCAAAAATCACCATACTTACTAGCATAAAAATAATTTAAAGTAAGGCGATGCATGGCATTTTTAAAACTTTTCGAATGAATGTAGATAATACATATTCAGACCCACACATACATTCATATTAGTCATTAACTAAATATGAACGAAGCAAATGCAAACGTTTTCACCGAGGCAAAAATAAAAAATTTTTACATTGAAGCCAAAGAAGGTAGCAAATTTTAAAAGTGCATGTAAACAATGGCAAAAGTTGAAGTGTGAATATAGGAAAGCATGCACACATACGTACTACATTCATCAATACAACAAAAACGCAAGAAATAATTAAAAAAAAGTATGGAAAGAGCAGCGCATAAGCACACGCTCGTACATAGGCACAACTCACATACATACAGGTTTATAGATAGATGAAAATTGTTTTTCTTTTATTTAGCAACTAATTAATATTCATTGTCAGACTAACATACACACATGCCGATTCATGTACATTACGTACACCTCATAGCATATCAAGCATTAACGCATTGACAGCCAATTGGCCCACTCTAATCCTTTTACGCATACATACATACTTATGCATAAACATATGCATACATCCATACATATATATCACTACATATTTACTTGCAAAGTTTACACGAAACGCATTACAAGGTACATTACCGCAAAATTTAAGAAAGAAATAAATAAATAAAAAAAAAACACAAAAAAAAAAAAATCAACTCGAACGTATGTAGTTAGTTTGGAAATAACTGATTCATAATAACTTGTAAATATTGAAATGTGTAAAAATTTACATAAATAAGAAATAAGAATCCGTTTATGAAATTAAAAGATTAAGCATATACAAACCAAAAATTTGGTGGATGAAACAGCGCACAAATAAATTATGAAGTCCCCAAAAAAGTAGAAGAGACAAAACAAAATAACGATACAAAAGTTTAAAGGAAATCCCTAGAAAATTCGAAAAGCAAATAAATAATGAAACAACAACCAACACAGCACACACCTCTGACATAACCTTACACTATTTTAATTCTTTTGAATTTTATTTTTATTTTTTATTCTTTTAGATTTTCGGCTATTTGTTTTGTTGAAGGTGTGGCTCATTTTCTCCATTACAAAAATTTTCGAACATACCTTGTATGGTAGAAATGCCTAGATAACACCGTCAACAACATATTTCCAAAAATCAACGGTAGTTTTAAACCAGGTTGAAAGAAGTTTAGGAGTCGCTATCCCTCTAAGAGCCTTAGAGTGAAGCTCTGCGCTGCCTCCTTAATGGCCAACACATTCCTTTGATATGTATACACTGATGTGGTCAGAGAGTCGACATAACTATTCTCACTATCCAAGAAAACTGCTCCCCGACTCTGTTTTCAATATAATGACCATCTTTAGAAATATTTATGGCAATGGACATTGGTAGTTCTACTGTACCAGACCTATGCTGTTCGTACTAAAACTTTAGAGGTTACTGGAATCGGCCAGGGTTACTTAATCCGTGAGTCATCTCTTGAAGCCTTGCTGGTGCAATAACGGCAAACTCTCGAGAAAGTCGAACAAGTGGAGAAACAGGCAACACTTCATCAAAAGATTTGTATGTATATTTTGTTCATTTCTGTGTGAGAGAAAACATGGCCCCTTTCGGCTTTCTTAGCCCTTCTGCAGTGTTTGAAATTAAATAAATAAATAAATATGTAGTTGGGTGAGTACCAGAGGCAGCACTTTCTAGGCATATTGATCGAAAAACTAAACGCCCTTTTTTACGACTTAATTCAGTGGAAATTAAACCGTATCTATGTTCCTGATTTCGATTCCGAATATTCAGTTTGAAATTTAAGCCTTGAATAGTTTGTATGTAGGGTAGATGAAAAATCACATGTTGTTATGAACGTATGGATCCTGGGCTCAAACTCAAAGCTTCGCGGAATATATGTACAATAGGGTGGTTCTTAATCATATCCTCATCTAAATTTTGTATGGGGTATCCACAAAATTTTTGGAATCATAAGGGTTTAAGTGACATTTTTTGAAAATATAAGTTATACCCATATTTGTATACTTAAATACAGTGTTTATTTTGTGTCAAAGAGTAAACATTCTTTGAATTAGTTAACTAACTTCATTTAGACAAGAATCATTTCAAATACAT